ATGCATAACTATGTTTTCATTAGTGAGCAATGACCCGAAAAATTCATTATTAAGCCGTTTATATCAACAGATGCTGCAGGTCGCCTTCCATGGAGGCTGCCATGTTATACCACCATGTTTCTACTGGTAGCCCTGAACCGGACAAACCAAACACTGCCTCTACATAGGGCCATTTTTTTGCCACCGTAGTTTCTCCTACACACTTGGAACAGGAGGGTGAGACGTGGGGGTTGTAATCTGTAGTCCTACACGCTGGACCTTTAACAGTGTGCAAACAAGAGTCGACATTTCTACTTTCCAACGGGTCAAAAGGCAAAAACTTAAAGCCCCTGAAAGGAACTTTTAGTTTGTTTGTTGATTCTGTTATAACCTGACTGCGGCAGACTGCAGTGTATCAAGGGCGAACTTCAACCAATCAGATCAACGAACCGTATAATGTGGTCAAACTCTTACTGAGGTCAGTCGGGGAGAAGAAAGAAAAACATCCTGCAGCCTTCAGTGTCGCTCGTTGCTCTTCTCTCAGTGAAGAAATACTCTCCGGTTGTGCCTGTAGTTCCTCACAGGACGTTCATTGTTCTGAAGCACTGAGGTTTGGACGCAAGCACGTGATAGCGACGGTGTTTCTGCCACCTGGTTTCATTGATTCAAGGGCAGCAGGCATTAAGAACATCCAGTCTACTCTCTGATGGTGTTGTTGTTTATGTAGGTCATATAGCGGCATTATAGTATTAAATAGAGACTGTTTTATAACCGGTTTGAATAAAACCAAACTTCTACCAAACTGAAATATGTTTTTGAGAACCATTATAAACCTTTTTACTACGAGGAACATTTCAGGGAATCAAAGGACATAATAATAACATAATAATAATGTTTTTATCATCGTCTCTGATGTTCTTACTGGCACGCGTCACCACAGCGAGAGGCTCATGGGAAATAGTCTGGACTGTGGACTGAACAAGAAATCCAGAGATCTAAATTTGGAGCGCTTTAGGTCAAGCGTGGCAAATTAATTTCCTGTCACCGCAGGAATACTGTTTCCATGAGCTTCACGGGACTGACGAATCCAAAAAGAGTTGTTGTGCGTCAGAGGTTTTGAACACAGAAATTGTGATTTGGCTGTGAATCAACACAGATGGGAAACTATTATCTAATTACATCACAGTTTTTATAGTTTTGTAATAAGTTTTTGTCTTTATTTGGTTTCAGTTCAGTTTCCATAGTGAGTTTCAGTGTTAGTTTCAGTTTTTTTATTATAGTATTTGTCAGGGTCGATTTTCAAAATGTTCACAATAGGTATTATAATACACATTTTCTATATATTTTTATTTTATTTGAGTTAATTACAATGTTCTTTCACGCCTACTTTTAGTTTTTGTTAACTATAATAACCTTGTACCTCTTTAACTGGATCATATCCAGCTATAATCTGGTTTTCAGTTCACTTTATCAAGGTTTTTTATACAGAGACAGTTTCCATCATCAGGATACAATTTACATTTAATTAAACCTATAAAGAGGACACATACTTACATATACAGTCTTACTACTTTACACTCTCTCATTTGGACTTCTATTTACCTTATTTGATACTTTATATTTGCACTCTTTTCCTACTTTTGTACGGCAACTGCTGCACAACAGTTTCCCTTTGGATAAATAAAGTTTATTATCTTAAAACAGAACATTTAAGAGCACAGAGAGAACTTATAAAACTATAACTCTCCTCCAAAAACCCAAAGCAACTGTGGATGTAAACACATACAGATCATATTTTATGTCCACTAAGAATTCAGGATAGTGAAGTGAAATCTTCTTTATTTAGTATCCCAGAAAATTAATGGATGAATTTTTATACAGGTAAATACCATTAGACCTTTTTCTTTATGGCGTAAATTGACGGCTGTGATTTTACTTTCTATGAATTTTGATCAGTGATGAGTTTTCCTGATATTTTTAGGAACTCTTTATACAATTCTGCGTATTAGTTTTTAAACAATCATACAGACTTAATAAGACAAATTGAGTGTTTTCTTCTCATTGTTCTAGAAGCTCTTTGGTTGTTTGAAATTGAGATCAGAGAGTGACAGCTCTGTGAATACAGCTTGTGTTCAGATCTTTTAAATATTATTTAATTTAGTTTTCTTCACAGAATTGAACGAAATGCTGATATATAACCCCACTGTGTAGAAGTTCTCTTACACTCTTACATTTGGTCCTGGTCCTTTGTATATAGTAAGTTTTTGGTGCTATTTGTCAGTTTGCAGGAGTAGCATCTCAATGGCATTGACATTTAAATGCCAACCACACACACACACACACACACACAAACACACATATTAAGTGGATGGGACAGTTGACATTTTGAATCCTTTTGTCTCTGTGTCTCCTCAGCGCGTTCGCCATGCGTCAAAACAGGCCAGCTTGCCTGCTACTTAAGTCGATGGCGTCACAGGAGTAAGTACCACACACACACACACACACAACACACAACACACCACACACACACAGACAACACACACACACACCAAAGACGAGGGCCTTATTAAATCTGTTACAGTACGAGCACCCACACACACACACACCTTGTGGGGATGAGGTCACAGATCCTGGGCCGTTGAGGGCATTTGAGGCAGCCAGTTTGTCCTCATTAGACGTCTTCTTCTTTATCTTATTTCCTTCCAAGCAGTCTGAACCGTTTATTACATTTCAGTCTAAACACAGAGTCTTGCTAACATATTTGCAATTGTTTTATTTGTGGGTGGTGTGTGTGTGTGTATTTTTTAGGATGAGGAGGAGGAGATTAAAGCAGAGATCAACATGTTAAAGAAGTACAGCCATCACAGGAACATTGCAACCTATTATGGAGCCTTCGTCAAGAAAAACCCTCCTGGGATGGATGACCAGCTCTGGGTACGTACATAAGCGATGTGACACCTCATTTTATCTTGAACGCACCTCATTCACACGTTCAAAGAGTGGCTTTTGTTTCACTTGGCACACAACTTTCACCAGCTATCATCGGTCGTCTGTTCTCCTCCTTCTGTTAATGTTGTATAATTGAGTTTTTATATTCCTTAACTTTGAACTCTGCAATAGTAATTTTTTTAAGATACTGAAATCATTAATATCTCTAAAATCTGTACAACCTACAAACTAAAAGGTTTTTATAAGTCAATCAACCAGAAATAATTGAAAGAAGTATTGAAACTGAGTCATAAATATAAAAAAATACAAAAATCTGACCTGTTTTTTCATCACATTTTTAAAATAAAAACAAGGCACAATGCCATGATGTTTTAAAGCCTTAGTTTTCCGCTGCAAAAAGAATAAATGCTCTAGCTATTATGGTTTTTATTTTAGATTGAGTTAAATAGGATACTGCAAAAAAAACCTCAGCCCGTAGGAGGTCTGCTTTTAGAGGGTTAATAAGGGACGTTTACATGTTTTGTTGATGATTTGTTTTTAAGGCAAAAGGCTCAAGGGACCAGAATCAAATGACACTATGATAAAGTAATAGTTTAAGTGACCTTAAATAAAATGTACTAACTCAAAAGGTGGATTTGGTGTTACTGTAAATCAATGTCTTCACAGCAGCCGAACAGAAACAGTGTGTAAGGAGATATAAAAAACAGATAATCTATACAATAACAGTTTGTGTGTGTGTGTGTGTGTGTGTGTGTGTAGCTGGTGATGGAGTTCTGCGGAGCCGGATCGGTGACAGATCTGATCAAAAACACCAAAGGGAACTCTCTGAAGGAGGAATGGATCGCCTATGTCTGCAGGGAGATCCTCAGGGTGAGAGCTGAAATTAAATTAAAACCACCGCATGAAAACACCTTGTTCTTAAATGTTTGGTGAAACTGTTATTTGGTGGGAAACAAATATAAAAGGGACCCCAGAGGGTTCCCTGAGGAACTCCTTACTTGGATATATTCTGTATTGTTTCTTGTTTTTCTGCTGCAGTGACCCAAGTTGCTCATAAAAAGGTGATGATGAGGAGATATGTGTTCTTTAAAGGAACCATTGAGGGATATTAAAGAGCCATTGTATTGATTTTTAACATACTGCAATATTGGATCTGTAATAATGATCCATAAGCCTGTAGAGTTAACTATCATCATTTTTACTGTTACATGTAGATATTAATCATGTGACACTTTGAGGGATTATCAGCAATATCTAGTTTATTTATTTTAAAGATAGTAAATGAATAAATTAATCTAATGTTAATGTATTCTGTCAAAAACAATCGATGAGTTGAAATGATGATGATTGTTGAAGGAACTAGCTTAAATTAAATAATAATAAGTTATAGACTATATTTAAATTATTTTCTAACTTTAGATTTGTTGGGCTTCGAGGCTTGAATGGGGAAATTGTTTTTGGAAAGATCTAAATAAGAAATTCAAGAGAGGAAGCTCCCAGTACCGTCTACTACTACTTTGCTTTCTGTCATAGTAAGGCCTCACAGAAATGTTGACCCTCTAATGAACCAGATTGCAGTCTTAGATCATCCGGTGGGTCCTTCTGGCTGCTCCAAAGTCGAGGCTTAAATCTAAAAGCTGACGTTTGCCATCAAATCTTCTCGACTGAGGAGATAAAGTCTGCAGAATCAGTGACTTTTATGTCTGCTCTTATTATTGTTATATTTATTTATATTTTGTGTGTCACGCTGATCTTCTTGCTTTGTCTGCTATATAAATAAAGTTATTATTATCATCTGTTTCTCTATCTCCAGGGTCTGACCCATCTCCACCAGCACAAGGTCATCCACAGAGATATCAAGGGCCAGAACGTGTTGCTGACGGAGAACGCTGAGGTTAAACTAGGTGAGAGGGCAACGTGTCTTTGTATCATACTGACATTAATATATCGTATTGTTGCCTGTAATTGAAGCCTTTAATTCTCTGTGTGTGTGTTTGTTTGCAGTGGACTTTGGTGTGAGCGCTCAGCTGGATCGTACGGTGGGTCGCAGAAACACGTTTATCGGGACGCCGTACTGGATGGCCCCGGAGGTCATCGCCTGTGACGAGAACCCAGACGCCACGTATGACTTCAAGGTACGGCTGATGTGTGTAGATATGGATGCCGCTCATACAGTGTCTGTATCATACAGTACTGTGTGTACTGCAGATGTATATATGTAAACTACTATGTTTCATAAGAGAACTACAGTCTGGAAGCTCTGAGTGATGTTGTTGTTGCACTGTATGTGGATTTTCTTTAAATGTTAAAGCCTATCGGAGCTACTTTCTAATGTTTGTATTATAAAAAAGTTGAGAATATCCTTCCTTTCTCTAAAATACAACCTCAGAAGTTATATTTGAGGGCCACTTATGTGCAGACAATCAAAACAATGAGCTAAAAGAGGCTAAACTCTGCGACAGAGTTGACATCAGGAGTATCGCACTATTGATAAATGTAGGTTTAAAGGACCCATGTGCAGGATTTAGTGCCATCTAGCAGTGAAGACATGAGACACTAATGACAAACTACAGTAGCCACAAAAAACATGAAAGGCCTCATCTAGAGCCAGTGTTTGGTTTGTCCTCTCTGGGCTACTGTAGAAACATGGTGGTTCACCTCTGTAGAAGTCTGTAATTAAAAACAGCTCATTCTTAGGTAACAAAAACACAGCAATTCTTATTTTCAGGTGATTGTACACTAATGAAAACATATATTATATGTCTGATAGCTATGTGCATTAATAAGAGACATTTAAAAGTAATGCAAAAATTACTTTACCTCGTAACTACTTACTATTATATGCAGTAATTGATAAAGTAATTCAGTTACACACTAAATTTGAGCAATTTGGGGTTCAGTATCTTGCACAAGGACACTTTGACGTGCAGCGGGAGGAGCCAAGGATCGAACCGCCAACCTGCTGATTGGCAGCTTGCTCTACCTACTGAGCCACATCCACATCGTATAAATAAATCTGTGCACATATTGATTAAAGGAAAATAATGTCAGAGAGTTCCTGTCGACAGTGAAAACAAAAACAAGCAGCTTTTGTTGTTTTTTCCTTCGATTGCCTCCCAAAGTTCAATCTCCCATCAATCACAGTCACGATGCTTGTAGCTGTGAACAAGTAACACCGACTGACCTTTAAAAACCTCAGAAAAGGTTCAATGATCATATCTAGTGTTTGTTTTTTTAATCTTACCACATGACTGCACAAACCACCAGCCGCATGCAGAGTCACAACAACAGCCGCTGAAAACACTGAATCTAAAGGATGTGCAGTAACGGGGACAGGACGAATCCCCGCGGCGAGCCCGCCGAGGAGGAACGCTGCTCCGTTAAGACGCCATTAACGCCGACCCTCCGGGGCTTCACGTGTCGAGAAACCCTCAGTTCATCTCAGAAGATTAACATCAACTTTGAATAGCGATTTGTTGGCTAAAATGTGTTAAAAACTAAATAATACTGATAGAAAAGTAGAAGCCAGAGATGGACAATAGCGGTGGCAGATGGGCACAGTTTAATATTTTTATCACCTAACAAGAACACTGACCAGAGGACCGAATACACGATGTGTTAAGTCGGTAACACGTTTTTTAGGATGTGAAAGTTTTCAGTTCTCTCTCTCTGTCTCTGCAGAGTGATCTGTGGTCGCTCGGTATCACAGCCATAGAGATGGCAGAGGGAGCACCACGTAAGTGTGAAACATCAGACTCACTCAACTCTTACCAGTGGACACACAGAACAGTTTGTCTCAGATGAAAGTCTAAATACATCCTCTGTTTTCTCCTCCATTTCTAATCCCTCGTCTGCTCTCCTCTTGTGTCCTTTTGAATTCCTTTTCTTTGTCCTCATCTGGTTATGTCTCTTTCTGTTTCCTTTCCTCATCTGTCTTTCTTCTTATCTCGTTTCCTCTTCTGTCCTTTCTTATCATTTCCTTTCCTCTATTTATTTCTTTTCTTATTCATCTTCTCTTGTGTCTTTTCCCTTTCCTTTTATCTTCTCCTTTCCTTTCCTCTTCATTTTTTCATTTTCTTTCCTTTCTTCTTGTCTTGTCTCCTCTTCTGTCATTTCCTCTTTTCCTTTTCTGTCCTTTGCTGGTTTTTTGTCTCCTCTTTTCTTTCTTTCCCTTAATTTCCTTTCCTCTTCTGTCTTTAATTTCCTTTAATTTTCTCTCTGCCTCGTCTCCTGTCCTCTTCTGTCCTTTTCTTTCCTTTCCTTTCCTTATTCCCTTTCCTCTTACCCTCACATCGTGTCTTGTCCTTTTGTCCTCTTTCTTTCCCTCCATTTCCCGTTCCTTCTCTCTTTTTGTGTCTTCTCCTTTACTTTTTCTCCTCCTCCTCCTCCTCAGCTCTGTGTGACATGCATCCAATGAGAGCGCTCTTCCTCATCCCCAGAAATCCTGCCCCCAGACTCAAGTCAAAGAAGTGGTGAGTCACTAAAACACAAAAACACACACACACACCACACCAACACACACACACCACACACACCAGCACGACAGGATGGTTTCCTCTGCACCTGCTCTGTGGTTATTATCCAGTCAGCATCTCACTACGCCTCCTCTGGCCCTGATTATGTGCCACATTCAGCAGTAATCTGATTTCAACCTCAACCTCACACTCAGTCTATTTAAAGGATTTGGAATAACCTCATTTAACGGGGAAAAACTTCCTTTCTGGCACAATTAACTGCAAGTTTCTTTAAGTTGTGTACAAAACAAATGCAAGAAACAACAAACATTTTAATCACATATTATGTTGTGTACTTTTACATATTTATTATATTGTTTTATGTTTTTTGACTGTGCTCCAGCAGTTATATTTCTGTGGTTTTAAATTAAAAACAATGTGTTAGTCTAAAGGTTTTCAACCTTTTTTAAAGCGTTTAACAGCTCAGAATTCAGTTTTCGCTGAACTCCGGTGGTTTAACTTCTCACCTCGCTGCAGTGATGTGGAAGTGTACTCCAGGGTGTGTCAGTACACAGTGACATCACTGTACTATAGTGATACTACTGGGACTGACACCAATAATACCGTTACAATGACGTTAGTGCAGCTGGTACTCTGACTGAGACTACTTCAACTGCTACCACGATTGCTACTATTTGTATTGGTAATACTACTAGGATACTACTAGTACTTCTACTTCTGCTACTTCTACTGCACATAATGTTACTGCTCCTACTATACTAACTACTATTACTTGTACTGCAGCTGATGATACTATTATTACATGCATGTGCACTTTAAATATCCTGAATATCAACTTTACTGAAGACATTTGACTTTATATCCTCCATATGTTTATAATGTGATCCTCTGATCCTAACACTCAATCTGCTCATTAAATGGTTGGTTTTGGCTACAGGTTACAGGTACTCTCATGTATCTAACTGTGTGTGTTTGCAGGTCGAAAAAGTTCCAGTCGTTCATAGATAGCTGTCTGGTGAAGAGCCACAGCCAGAGGCCGAGCACTGAGCAGCTCCTCAAGCACCCGTTCATCAGGGACCTTCCCAACGAGCGGCAGGTCCGCATCCAGCTGAAGGACCACATCGACCGCACCAAGAAGAGGAGGGGGGAGAGGGGTGAGTCTGCACCCCCACTGACTCACCTCACAGCTGCAGACAGCTGCAAACAGCTGGATGGAGGATCAGCTGGTTCAGACTGTGTGAACGTTAACCTGAAGTCTGTGTGTTTCCTGCAGATGAGACAGAATACGAGTACAGTGGGAGCGAGGAGGAGGACGAAGAGAGGGATGTTGGAGAGCCAAGGTACGACTACTACTGTTACTACTACTACTGTTACTACTACTGTTACTAATACTGTTACTACATACTGTTACTACTACTGATGCTACTGTTACTAATACTACTACTAGTGCTACTGCCTCTACTTGGTTATTACTAGCCCTACTAGTACTACTACTGCACCTACTACTACTATTACTGCTACTTCTACTATTACATCTATTGCTAGTAATTCTACTCTTACAAGTACTAGATTATTACTAGCACTACTTTATGTACTGCTGATACATCACTGCTACCACTACTGCTCCTTCTACTGTAGTCACTGATACTACTCCTACTACTTCTACTGCTACAACTACTAATGCAGCGAGTACTCTGACTGTGACTACTACTACCACTACCGTTACTACTACTACTACATTATTACTAACACTACTAGTATTTCTACTACGACTGTTACAGCCACAACTACTTCTAATGCACATAATGTTACTGCTTCTACTGTTAGTACTGCAACTGCAAGCACTACTATACAACTACTATTACTTGTACTGCTGCTAGTGATACTATAATTACATGCACTTGCCCTTTAACTCTGTTTATTTTGAATATCCTGAGTATAAATTTTAATTAAATCCTCCATGTTTATAGTTTATGATTTAAAGGAACTGCAGATTTATGTTATATAATCTGATCATCTCCATTATATTATTAATTGATTTGGTCCTCCTCTAGCTCCATCATCAACATTCCCGGGGAGTCCACTCTGAGACGGGACTTCCTGCGCCTTCAGTTGGCCAATAAGGAGCGGTCGGAGCTGATCCGGCGTCAGCAGCTGGAGCAGCAGCAGAACGAGGAGCACAAACGCCAACTGCTGGCCGAGAGGCAGAAACGCATCGAGGAGCAGAAAGAACAGAGGCGACGGTTGGAGGAGGTAACTCTTTTATTTCATCTGCTGCGTTATGTGAAACACCAACAGTATGTTATCATACAGACACTTTTTTTAAATCGTACTAATAAAAATGTATAAGATTTGACATATTAATGACATATGATTGTGTATAATCACCTACATTTATCAGTGAATTGATTTGGAATTGTTTAATTATTCTTTGTTATAGGAATAACAAACAAAAGAGTGAATGAAACATATGTTAATATTTTGTTAAAGGACACAATTATATTGAATAGATTTGACCTAATACATCATTTAAAATCTACATGAGCACAGACTTGTTTATTAGAGTGTAAGCAGGGAGTTGTAAAAGGTGTTTTATCATCCCTGAAGGGGAAACTATAGACCATGATGATGCAGTATTTCCATCTGTTTTGCATCCTTGCACCATGTTGTGCTGTGATGGAGCCTTAATGACACCTTACACATCTGAGACACTGTCGCCTGCAGATCTACACCTAATCAGCTCAACATGGCTACCAATGATTAAACCTGATCGCACGACAAGAAAGCTAAAGAAAAGTCTGTATATTGAAGTAGAAACATTTCTTTGAATAAAATATTTCTAGTCTGTTGCTAGCCTCTGTGAAAAAGACTTCCTGTAGGAGCTTCACAATAAAGGTCTTCAAACGGTTCATGGGTTGAATGCTCGTAATGTGAAGGTTTATTGCAAGAGGAGAGACAATCTGACTGCTACCTGTAAGGATCAAGGAGGAAGGGAATGCATTTTTCATGAAACAATATAAGGTTGTACAACCCTTCATGCTACAAACATTGAAAAAGATACAGAAAGTTAGAGCAGAATGACATTAAATAGAATAAAACAACATGTACACATATATACATACATGCACCCAGGAAATAACAGTATAACAAAAAGCAACAGTGACTTCTATGTTACACAGAAATGATAAAAAACGTCTGTAAAACATTTAACGTTATCCGTCTCTGCTGTTTTCTCCTTGTGCTTAATTTGCAAATGGTTAATCATCAAACCTGTTTGTTCTTTGACGCATTAATGTTACATAGCTCCCACTGCACGTTCTACTTCTTAGAAATACTTCCAAACTTTACTTTTATGCCCCGTCGACATTCTGCCCCATAAGGTCAGATCTAAATGCGAGTGTTCGCCCCGGAGCCGTTAGCTGAAAGCAGGTATATCAGTACTTTAAGGGTTGTTGTGCCAGGTTGTGTAATATATGCATAAAAAATAAAAATCAATCTTTAAATATTTAGAAAGATAAAGGACACCTGAAAAAGAGCTGCTGATGGAGACTGAGAGTTAACACCTTAACATCACGTGTGATAATTGAGAATGTCTGCCTCTTTTAGCCTCTGTCTGTTTTCACCTTTAAAAAAACATCTCAGCTTTGATTATAAAATGACTCGTCTTCCATGCAAAAAACCCACCACACCTGTGATGTTAGCACTTATCCAAATGCCAAGGAAACACACCTAATGTGCACAAACACACACACACACACACAGAGCTGAAGCGTTGTTGTGTAAAATCTTCTCCACCTACAGCAACAGCGCCGGGAGCGAGAGATGAGGAAGCAACAGGAGCGTGAACAGAGGAGGAGGTACGAAGAGATGGAGCAGCTCCGCCGGGAGGAGGAGCGGAGGCACGCAGAGAGAGAACAGGTAGGAAAACACCTGACCCCGCTGGCGTTACATCACAGCTGTCATCCAGAGAGGCGTGGCTTCCTAAAACTGATAACCTTCCCATTTCAACCACCTTTATCTCCCCGTGTGATACACAAACAGTTTGAGTGACTTTATTGAACATCAAACACATTTTTCTAACTCTGAGAGTCTTCAGGGCCCTCAAAAAAATCTAGCTGCACAGTTTTCTGAATCAATATAATCAATAAAATGTTTAAAGGTGCCTGGTGGATCATGGTTTTTAAATACAGTCAGTGTTTGGTGCAGTTGGGTTCAATGTTCTTACAAAGAGGAGGAAAACAAAGAATCTCTCACACATCGAATACTACAGTATAAAAGAGAAGACAGGAGGCTTTTCAACGGACTGCATGACTAATAGTTAACTTTTCCTGCGGTGCAGCGCTCTATGCTATTTCTACCTCTCGCACAGCTGATTTCATGCTGATCTTTAACATCATTCCTCCGATAATAAGCATGTCTTCCTGTTCTACTAATTACGGCCCCCTGCTGCTTCTCTCTTTTCATCTCCTCGTCTATTTCTGACTAAATCCCTACTTTCACACCTCTTCAATGGATCTACTCTCTGTCCTCCTCGTTCATTTTCCTTTTTCTCCTATTTCCTGCTCTGCTGATGTCACTGGTTGCCTGGGCTCCGATTTGCTTCTCGCCCGCCTCGCTGCTCTCTGATTGGCTGCGTCTCCTGCTGACCCCGGGGGCTGATTGGTTAGGAGTACATCCGTAGACAGCTGGAGGAGGAACAGAGGCAGTTGGAGATCCTGCAGCAGCAGCTCCTGCAGGAGCAGGCTTTACTGCTGGTAACACCACACACACACACACCGTCATTAACTATTAATGGGACAAGGTTTTGCAGAACAGTTTTACAATGTGTCCGTGACAACAGCTCAAAGGTTGGTGACCGTGGCAACAGCATGGGAGTTGTAGGCTGTGGTGACGGAAGAAAGAATCACATCAGCTTTTTCCTCCTGTAAAAAGTTCAATAAAATCAATAAATCAATAAATTCAGATGTGTCAGTCGATGGCTGACGGTCCTGAAATGACAACAAACCAGACAGACAAAACACACACACACACACACACACAGACTCACATCGGTTGCTGCAGACTTTCACACACAGAGAAGTGCCCGACCTCTGACCTGACGAGAAACATGCAGAGACAGTCTCAAACTCGGCTAAGAGGTCGGTCAGTCGATGGCGTTTGTCAGGTTTTGCTCCAGAATGAGAACTTCTGAAAACTTCTCATAACACTTAATATAAACCTTTAAATAATAGTTCAAACATTAGACTTATATATGAGGTTGAATACCATATATCCTATTTTTTTCCTTTAATATTGGATGGCCAATCAAAATGATGAAACCTTGTGTCAAACAGCGGTTTGTTACCCTCAGTAATTGTTTTATTCTGCTGTAGTTTTATCAATTAATCATGATTTAAAGGCAGTTTCTGCATTAAGCTGCATTACAGAGCTGCCAACACTAAAAGCATTTCATCAGTCTGGTTTCATTTTAGTGTCTAATAACAGTTTAAATCATGTTTCAGCCTAACATGAATTACATTTCTGAGGTTACCAGTGAATGCTAGTTATGTTTTGCATGAAATTCTTTAAATTTGAAGAATAATAGCTAATAATGGTGTTCAAAAATCTTTGTTAGTAAGGAGTCTTTATGTATACAATATTACAAGTAAAGGTAAAATGTTGTGTTTTCTATTTACAATCCATTTACTACTAGATGTCGCAGTAGAGGGCACTACGGGCGAAACTCACCAAAACCGTCTTTGTTTCCAACAATCACCAACTCTGGTTTGGTAGAAATAAATCCTTAATTCACCAGCGTAGATGATAGAAACAGCAGTTTCAGTC